GTACTTTTTTCTCAAGCAAAAGAAAACATGCTTCAAATAGAATTATTTGGTCTTGAAGATTACGAATCAATTTTCCAATCATGTATAAAACATTGTAAAAAAATTACAAGATTTCATGGTTCAATTGTATTTCAACAAACTTCTCTTCTTCTCGAAATGTTGAAGACTTGTAAAGAACTCCAAGATATCCTTATTGAAGATTTATCTCACGAACCTGAACGTGTATGTACATCTATCGCATATTTCGATCCTAATAATTTCATACGACAACTCGGAGAAGCCATGCCAACAAATGTACATATATTAACATTAAAGATAAATTGGGTATTTTCATCGAAATCATTAGATGACCTTTTCAAAAAGTTTAAAGCAACAAATTTAAGAATATTAGACTTTTCTGGTTTATCATTTATTTCCGATGATCATCTTGAAGTTATTATCAAACGTTGTGGTGGAAAATCGAAGGAATTATATTTGACACATAGTTATTATTTTTCTGATGAAGTTATTGAAAAGGCACGAAATAGTTTTCGGAAAGTTGTCTTTGTAAAAGATCAATCGTTATCAAATGAACTTGATGAATTTGATGACTTTGATGAATACGATGACTTGATGTTGGATGAACTTCTAAGTTTACAGATGGAAGACGAATTTATTTATGGGTGTTATCAAGATGATTATAGTGAATTATATGGTAGCTATTATGACGATAGTGAAGGTGATGATGAGGAGGAGGAAGAAGAGGAGGAGGAATTGTATTCAGATGATAATAGTGGTTATGCAGATTCTGAAAAAGATGATGACGATTATGATTCAGAACAAAGTGACTGATATATTCACTTTTGTTAACATTAATATATACTATTAGGATTGTCAATGCTTTTTTTTCATAATATTGCTATTATTGATGAAGTATTATAAAAATAAAGCACAATGAATATTAGTTAGCTCCCAAATGAATTTAAATTTTAAAAGATCAACATGTATAATTTCAAGATATCTAACTTTGCGAGATGCTTTGTAATAAATTAGAATGCGAGTAATAATTAATGCAAATCTCAAAAAAATCGCTCGAAAATATTAAACTTCTTTACAGAGATAAAATGAGATGTTTCACATTAGTGTCACGAAATATTCCACCTAGGAGAAATATCTCGAATTTTGAAAAGTAAATTTGACACAACACCATTTCACATTCTTAAAAAATTTGACGCGTCTAGCCAATTAAGAAGTCAATAAATAATATACTACGCTTTTTAAAACGATGCTTTAATGTGATCTTTTCTTTATTTCTGTATTTGCTCGATACATTTACGTTAATACAATGAAATTGGACGATATCGGCCCGCATCACAGTGATTTGCTACAAATTATTGTTTTGCCTCATTCTTTAAACCTTCTCACATTATTATTGAGGGTGTGACATTCCGGTATTATGTAGAAACAAAATCATACAATCACTGGTCATACAAAATTTTCGTTAAAAATCAAAAAAATAAAATAAAATAAAATTAGAAGTTGGAATCGAATTTCTTAATTTTGGGATTTTTAATATTCGAATTCAACATCTAAACAATATACTTAAATTTATTGGTCAAAATCCTAGAGAGCGGCCGAAAGTTTTTTTATTAACCTTCATAAATATCTCATATCCTAGTTCGAAGTATTGTAGTCAACAAATTTCTAAAAGCAATAAAGATTCAATTAAAAACCAAACATACTAGAATTCTCATAACGATAATGTAAATTTCTAATACTGTTTTCAGGTCAAAGTGAAGAAACATTTTTTGTAATCAAGACAAAACATTTTTAGTTCATTAGCCTTAAACATTTAATCATCATCAACAGTAACGAATTTTATATCTCAATCCATTAAATCGAACTATAAAACCTAGAGTATTAACCTTTCTTTATCTCCTATGTAGCTGTTTCCATTAGAATATTACCCAAATACTTTTTGTAACATCTTTTTTATTGATATATAATCTTGTTAAACGTTAATCGATGAAAGGTAAAAAGAAAAAAAAAAAAAAGCTGTACGAATTTAGTGATGCAAGATATCTTACACTGATCATGAGACAGAATGTAATTGGCTTGAGCCGAGAACCAATTAATGGGATTGTTTGTAGTTTATGTACTATATATGCAAAATATTTTTACACAAGTTACGTATCTGTTATTCATATACGTACGTGCGTATGTCGTAAATACAAGTTATACCTGATACTTGTAGATTTTTGTTTGGGTTTGGTTTCCTATAGACGTGGATACTTTTTATCGTTAATACGATAGCTACGATAACTGGCTGCTTTCCAGTTAGGTCGAAATAGAGTTTGAAGCCAAAAAAAAACCTCTCTCAAAAATTTCTCGTCCCGATTTAAAATTAGAGAGGTTAGTTTAAAAGGTTCTAAGATCCCAAATAATTTTCTTATTGTTGACTACTATTACTTTAATTAGCAACTTATATAGAAAAACCAACCTCTACCATGCAATTCTCATCTGCAAATAACGATTCTTCACTTCACAACGCAGGAGATGCAAATGCCAATCCTTTTGAAATTCCTGCAGACGAAGATGCTATTTCGGCTAATCCTAATATGACAATAGAATCTGATGATGTAGACCTTTCATCCGCTCATTCACATGCGTCGGCTACTCCAAAGTCAACAACAACCGTTAACTCTGATGCACAATCACCTCCCTTAGTAGAAACTAATAATCAGTCTAATCAGTCCAAACTTTATGCTTCCGGTACTCTCGATGAACCAGTTTCAAAAACTATTGTAAGTTTAAAAATTTTTAATGGTTATAATTTTATTTATATTTACATAGTTCTAATAAATCATAATAATAATTAAGCTTCGAGACTTGAAAAATGTTGCAGTTAAGTTGCAACAAGTTCTTCATCCTAAAGGGAATCGAGATGTTCTACGAGATTGTAAATATGTTCATGATTAATGTTGCTATTTATTTGTTACTTTTATTATTTAATTAAATAATTCCGCATCGTTATTATTATCTAAAAGGGGATTTGTGGGGTCCATTAATTCTTTGTTTATCACTAGCCATGTAAGTGATACTGTTTTTTTTTATGAAGATATTTTTTAATCCTTACATCATTCTTATATCGTTGTTAATAATATTATAGATTATTGGGTATTAGTGCAAAAAAGGATCAAGAAATTATGGTGTTTACTAGTGTCTTTACTATTGTATGGTTTGGGTCAGCTATCGTGACGATAAATGCGAAACTTTTAGGGGGCACAGTGTAAGTTGTAAATAATTAATTGACCCTAATTTATGAATTAATCTAATATGTAATCTTTAATCGGTGAATCTAGGTCTTTTTTTCAAAGCATTTGTGTCATTGGTTATTGTATATTTCCTTTAGTTATAGTAGCATTTGTTGCAATTTTTGTAAAAATAGTCTACATACGGTTACCTTTGGTAGTATTTGCATTTTTGTGGTCATCTTGGGGTGAGAAAACTTTTAATTTTTAAATGTATATAATAATTATTAATTAAGATTACTAATCTTTTATTATCTTACTCTTTATAGCATCAGTTAATTTTCTATCATCATCTCATTTATCAAATCGTCGGCTATTAGCTGTATATCCATTATTCTTATTTTATTTCGCTATCGGTTGGATGGTATTAATTTTATAGAATCTTTAAATTTTGAACTTAAATAATATGTATAAAGTTGAAAATTTTTTATCTATTTAGTTTTATTTTCATTGCATATAAAGTTATTAATTGTAAAAAAAAAAAATTTTGAATAAAGGATACTCTTTATCACTATTTGTGTATTGGGTAATTCATTGTATTAGTACGAACCAATTGCTATCATTCATATTCTTTCCATTTGAATATATAAACGTATCAGTTATCATCTAACGCAGACTCTTTGGCCTTAACAATAAAAATCTGTAACAACCCCTGCAGACGACCTAATATTTTATAACGGGCATCCATAAAATTTCAAGTAATCTTTTTATAATATGTAAATAGCATAATAAACGTTAAATTTTATTTTAAAACAATGAAAGCATGATATGATTATAGCTTTAAAATATTTATACTGTACATTGAAAACATTATAATCTAAACGCTTAGTAAAATATTGTAAGGTAAATCGAAATAAATGGATTTTTAGGGTGCTGAACACTTGTGCTTGGGTATTAAATACCACGTATAGTCGCGAAATAACGTGCCCCTATGCGTTATTTTATCCACCTGCGCGTTATTCTGAGACGCCCATGCGCGTTATTTTGAAACAATGGGTCAAAATTTTGAGCCTAATGTACTGTACATAAAGTATATCAAATCCGCTAAAACATGTTATACAAAGCGGGCGTTATTTCGGGACACGTACGTATGTGCGTTATTTTGAACAAAAATATGATGTTTTTGAGGAGTGCAATTTCCGAAATAACACTCATGGGAGTTATTTCGCGACTTTACGGTAATTATCTGCCATTTTTTAGGGCAGTAGAATACATATATGTTTAAATTGTAAATTATTTAGAAAGAAAAATAAAATGTCCCATTACTCAATTCCTTATGGTAAATGCTTCAATGTGCCAATACTGAATATAATATTTCATGTATTGCCTCATCTTAGTACATTTTTAGTGAATTTTTAATAATAAATACATGCTTCATGTTTATCTTATCAATTCCAATTCTATTTTTCAAAATTTAAATATTTAATATCATGTTCGTCTCAGAATATTTTTGAAAATAAGTGAACGCTTTATGTTCATCCTTTTCAGTTCCAATTCCACGTTTATAACAATTGCCAACTTGATAAGTCCCTTTTGCATTTCCGATCTCATCAGATTTTTTATAATAAATAAATGCTTTATGCCGTCCTTTTAAACTCAAATGCCATTGTGATAACAAACACCAACTTGAAACAGATTTTTGATAATGGATGAATGCTTTATGTAAGTCTTTTCAACTCCAACTCCATTTTCATAACAGTCACCGACGTTAAGCATTCCATTACTATTACCCATTTCTACAGATTTCTGCTAATAAATAAATGCCATATGTTCATCCTTTTCAACTCCAATTCCATCATCATAGCAAACCCCAACATTAAATGTTCCATTAGCATTTCTCATATCAGCAACAAACGCCAACTTCAAATATTCCATTAGAATTACCCATCTCAGCAGATTTTTGATAATAAATAAATGCTTTATGTTCATCCTTTCTAACTCCAACTCCATGAAAATAAAAATAGCCGACTTGAAACATTCCATCAATACTACCCATATTAGCAGAGTTCTGATAATAAATAAATGTTTTATGTTCATCCTTTTCAACTCCAATTCCATTTTGATAATACTCTCCAAGACAATATGTTCCTTTAACATGACCCATTTCGGAAGATTTTTGATAATAAATAAATGCTTTATGCACATCCTTTTCAACCCCAATTCCATTTTCATAACAATAACCAGTGTTGTATATTCCTTTAGCATACCCCATCTCAGCGAATTTTTGAAAATTAGCGAACGCCTTATGATCATTTTTTTCAACTCCAATTCCATCAAGATAACAGTTACCAAGACTAAATATTTCACCAGCATTTCCCATCTCTGCAGATTTTTGGAAATAATTGAACGCTTTATGCCCATCCCTTTCAACTCCAATTCCACGAAGGTAACAATAACCAACATTGAATATTCCATTAACATACCCCATTTCTGCTGATTTTTGATAATGAATAAGTGCATTATATTCATCTTTTTCAACTCCAATACCATCGTGATAATAATAAGCAACTTGATACGTCCCTTGAGGATCTCCTATATTAGCGGATTTTTCATAATAAAGAAATGCTTTATAATTATCTTTTTCAACTCCAATTCCATTTCTATAACAATCTCCAAGACAATATATTCCATTAATTTCACCCATTTCGGCGGATTTTTGATAATAAATAAACGCCTTACCTTCATCTTTTTCAACCCCGATTCCATCTTTATAACATTGTCCGAGAAAAAATGTTCCAGTAGCATCTCCCATATGCAGACTGTTTAAAATAATTAAATGCCTTACGTTCATCCTTTTCAACATTCTTTAACAATTTCCAAGGTAATTCATCGCTCTAATATTCCCCTTATTGGCGGATGCTTGGTAATAAATAAATGCTTCATTTTCATCCTTTTCAATTCCAATTCCATTTTGATAACATTGACCAAGTTCAAAAATTCCTATAGGGTCTTCCATATTAGCAGATTTTTGAAAATGAAGGAATGCTTTATGTTCATCCTTTTCAACTACAATTCCATTTTGTAAAAACTTCCGAGTCTATTTATCGCACGAATAATTCCCATATCAGCGGATGCTTGGCAATAAGTGAATGCTTTACTTTCATCTTTTTCGATTCCAATCCCTTGTTGATAATAAAAACCAAGTGTAAACATTCCCTCAGCATACTCTTTTTCATTAGATTTTAGATGAATAATTTTAATCTTTTCAGGGTCGATTACACCGGATGAATCCATTTTTATTAAGCTTTCAGTACTCTTTTCTTCATCTTATCTTTTATAATAATTAGACAACATTATTAAAGATGACAATATTAAAAGAAAATTACAATATTATAAAAGTAATAATACTCGAATGGCCCGAATGATTAGACTGCATATTAGTAGCCTTGATATTTAGAAGATCGAGTAATCTTCTCACGTAAACTGCTTCAGGATGAATTTCGGAATGGGATAACGAAGAATCATCAAGCATTTCATCAGCTTTCTTGATCTGTTCAACGAATTCTGTTGATTCATTTTTGAAATTTCATTATTCAACATGCCCATAATGTTACTTATTTCTTTAGAAGCTGGTCTTTTGTTTGGTTGAGCACCCAAGCATCTGCTTATTAGCTCAGTAACCAATGTTGGTACATGCTTTGGAATGTTTGGGCGTAATCCATTATATATGTCATTTTGTAGTTTGATATCATGCAAAACGTCGTGATATGCCTGAAAACCAGACGCTATTTCATATGCCACGATACCAAATGAGTAGACATCAGATGCCATACTATATTCTCCACTATATAATACTTCAGGTGCTATATATGGTATTATGCCACATATTTTTTTATCTGATTCCACATTAGCCAATGCTGATAATCCCAAGTCTGCAATATATGCACATTTCCACTATGAAGATCTCTGTGAATAATGAATTATACGAAGGTCAGAAGCAATGCAACTAATTATATTTAGTTTATTTTTTCACTTCATACGTGATATTGAATAAAGGTTTTCACGTAATGAGTCTACTAATGCATATTTCATAACAAGAATATAATCTTCAGAATCAACATCCTTTGATATTCCAAAACATTTTAAAAAGGTAGGCTCTTTAACACCAATGTCACAATATGCCTTCAACTTATTATTTAAAAGAATATAAGATCAAAATTGTCAATAAAATAAATATTGTTAATAAGATAAATAGAATTACCTCATTAATAAACTCTTTATGACGGAAATTTGATCCATGGAGTATTTTAAGTGCGACATTTATTACGGATTTTCGATTTTAATCAAATCATTTAGCAGAATATACTGTTGCAAAACCACCTTGTCCTACCTTTGTAATGTCTTTAAATTCATTATAAAAAAATCCATGATAATTGGTATTTATTTTCGATAAGCATTTTTTTAAAGCATCATCAATATTAGGTTCTTTATAAAACCCACTCATACGTAGCTAAATAATGAACACAAAAATTAATTAAATATCGTTATTATAATTGATAACAAAGATACCTGGTGTTTGATTCTTCTCCCTAATTATCAGATTTAATACATGAATTTATTAAACAAATATATTTGTTGTAAAAACAAAAAGATTTAAGTAATTTATTTACATTTGATACCAATAGTTGGCCTTTTGTAGATCTCTTGTTGTTCCAATTCCATTTCGGTAACAGTCAACCAACTCGAGACATTCCAGAGATAGATCCCATTCAACAGATTTCAGATAATATTTAAATGCCTCATGTTCATCTACTTAGCAGAAACTTGAATTTTTGCTATTATGTGATAGTTATATAACTATTATATGATAAAAATATGATAAAAATATTTTTGATCTGTTAAGTTACTACTTTGCTAAAATCTTGCATTTTTGCGAATGCATCAAAATATTCTAGATTTAATGTCATTTAATAATTTTAAAAGGATATTTTCATGATAATTCGCAAAGTTAGGTTCTTACTAGCACTGTTAACGAGCTTTTAACAAGGTTTTTTTGAAAAAAATCTAACTTTTCGTATTTTTTTTCAAAAACCTTGTTAAAACCTCGTTAAAACCTCGTTAAAAGTGCTAATAAGAAACTAACTTTGCAATTGCTATAAAAATTTCCTCTTAGCACCCTACATTATTAATAATTTTTATTAAATCTAGAATGTTTTGATGCTTTCGCAAAAATGCAAGATTTTAGCAAAGCATTAACAATATTTGTATCATATTGTTAAGTGTTAAGATATTAGTAATATTATTTAATTATTTTAAACAGATTGCTATTATATTATTAAAATATATTATATTATTAGATTGCCATTAGATAATTACAAGATAATATTAGATTATATTATAAATATATGGATTAATCGTGTTAATAGTGACTTTAATATATGTTTATCATATATTTATTATATTTTTTTTATAACATATTTTTATCACATATAATAGTTATATAACTATCATATGATGATCATAAATGGCAAAAATTCAAGTTTCTGCTAAGCTGGCAATACAGCAATAGAGCCGCGAATGGAGCCCAATGGATACTAATTTTTTGAGCTCCATTGATTCCATTGCCAACCCTGCCCGGGATATTATAAATATTTCGGGTAACTATACTAGGGGGTACAGAAATTGAAATACTATTGATGCGCAAGTTCGTATTTTAATCATCCAATTATAATAATCTGATCTTTTACTGAAAAAAGAGGTATTAAGCTACAGAGGGCACTTTACACGGTATTTATATATTTTTTTTCATTTTATAATAAGCATTGATGTTGCATACTGAGATGCGTATCTGCGAATTTTAGAGTCTCGTTAAATAATATAGTGTTCAAGTTAGTTGAAATTGCTAACACGGTTCTTACAACAAGAAGCGCAAATCCTTTAAAATGCGCCAGATCAACAAGTTTCAGAATTTAAATAATAAACAATTGCTACTCAGGTAAATTTATATCAATATTTAAATCGGTTATGATTTTTTTTTTTTTTTACGTTAGGAGGAAAAAATCTATCGCGAATTTATTTACTGTATCATCTCCCGTATCGACTACAAATCTGTCTCCCATATCTGAAGATTCTTATTCCAGTAGGAAAAAAGATAACTTGGTCATAGAGTTTTTAACTGTTAATAAATGAGTTTTATTACGCATTTAAATCAGAAAATATATTCAGGATATATTCTAAAGACATGGGAACGACCTAAAATGCTACAATATTATTCAACATGAGTCATTCATGCCCTTCTCCTTCTCCTTTCCTTCACGAAATGAAAGAAGAAGAAATTATGCCTTTGAAAAAATGAAGGAGATTATAACGAAAGTTAAGTTTTCCATCAAATCTGCTACGACATTCGTCAACTTTAGTAACCCTGTCAACCATCGCCAACTCTAATGATCCTGCTATTACAATCGCCAACTTTAGTAATTCAGCTATGCATACTGTCACCAACGCCAGCACTTGTGATATTGCTACCTCTACAATCGCCAACTCTAGTAATCTGCCGCGGGATAAAATTTTTTTAGAGTAAGATCAATAAGTGTCGCAGTAATATAAAAGTTATAAATACAGAACCTTTTTTACTTAAACAAAGATAACTCAGCTGAGTTTTAAACTTTGAAATCATATAGTAGAAGCATTGGCTTCAAAGTTGGAACTGTCAAGGCATTGATCATTCGAGATTTTTATAAACGTAAAAGTGGCCCCAAAACCATTACATTAGATGCGATTAACGCATGATTGGACATTAAAAACTAGGTATATCATAATAATTTTCTGAATATTCATAAAAATCAAGAATCTTATGTAACGTTTTTATTTTTAATTAAATAATGTACATAATCATCAGAATGGACTAGGTGCAGAGAAAAGGAACCAAATTAACAAAATAGGATTTGTGAAAAATTTAATTTTGTTACAAAATTTATATTAAAACATAAGAAAATTCAAAATTTAAAAGGCTATACTGTAAAATTTTATCAATACTACATTAATTTCTTGAGTGAAAAATATTCCTGAGCTAACTTGGCTCAAAAAATTTTTTTAATTTTTCTTGGCATATTATATTGTAAGTTTCAAAGTTGTATTTACTTTGATTCACAATTTTATAATAAAAATACAGACAAGAACTATACAAACTGGAAAGATCCATGTTGATTTTAATCAATGCGTATCATGCACAGTAAGAAATGTTTTCTGCATTTTATTGCACTTTTGTTTTCTTTTCTTTATCGTAATCTTCCACAACTGCATTAGACATATTCACTAAAACCGTGCCAAATACTATAAATCCTGCACCAAACCACCATTGAAGTGCCAATGCTTCACCAAATATGACATTTCCAAGTATTGCCTAAATTATATTGATAATTAATTAAAAAAGAAAAACAGACCGAAATTTCGAAACGATTGAAAATAACTTACAGTCATACAAAAATTAGTAGCGCTATTTAATACAGTAACTTGAATAGATGACGATGATTTATTAAATGCTTTTGTGAGAAAATTCCACATTAATGCATTACATAAGAATATTGATGCGAAGCAAAGAATTCTGATCGAATAGATTATCTTTTATGAAAAATAGATGTTTGAAAATGAGGCGTTGAATTCTTAATTTTTGATTACAGTATAAATTACAGAATTACACTTGACCAAATTAACATAATCACTCACAATTTTCCATCCCTTCTCGCTTTCTTCAATTTCTTTACAAAATTTTGCATTTTTACTATCAGAAATTACTTCACAAAAATATTGTGCGATACTTAAAGTTCTAGTATCTGTGAAAAGTTTTGCAAATACGGACGCTAATGAAGCAAATATTCCTGATAATAAGGAATATGGTATAAATGAAGATTTAGTTATGGTATTTTCCGATGATGCCATTTTTTTTTTTTTTTTTTTTACCTCGAACAAAGTGAAAAACAGTGATTTAAACCTAACTTATTGCAGTTATTGCTAACTTTAATAATGGTAATTTTGGTAATTTAGGGTATCTCCACTGATCACCGTGGTTTGTTCTTACGTAATACCTGCATTGTCGTACAATGAAATCGTATATTACATGAATTAAATTCTTTTTTTAAAAAATTTTATTAAATATCATATCATGGATTATCTAAAGTCAACGTTGTCTCGAGTCGTATTAGGTAAAGATATACCGACTCTTCCTTTTAATATTGCAGAAAAAGTCGATGCATACGAAGGCGTATCAATATGGTCTTTATATCAGGGAACAAAAAAGGTATGGTTACATATCTTGTTATTAAAGCGCCAATTTCAAATAATTATTTGAACCTGGTCTTAATCAGAGTTCTTGAAACATTCAGACCCTAATAATCCGTTGAATATTAAAAATCCTCTAGGAGGACGGAAGCCCCGTATCTATTTTCACTTTTGATTGCACTAAGCAAAAAGATAAATTACCTTTAGCCAAAAATGCTTTCAAGAAATTTCGCACCATTAGACACCCAGATTTATTACGTTACGTTGATGGTGTGGAGGTAATAATTTACTTTAATTGTGATTGCTTGTTGTTAATTTTTTTTCTTTTAACCAAGTTATTTTCTAATTCTTATTAAAGACTGATTCTAACATATATATCGTTACCGAAAATGTTACTCCTTTAATAACACAAATTAATGTTCGTCCTGATGATAATTTAGTGTCATGGGGCTTATATAAAGTGGGGGTATGTTTAAAATAAATTTTTTTTTATGTTTACCTTTTTTTTTATTTTTATAACATCACAAATCTTTTTTTTTTATAAGAGCGCATTAAAATTTTTAAATAATGATTGTTCAATGATTCATGGTAATGTTCGAATTTCGTCAATATTTACAAATAAAGCTGGGGAATGGAAATTGGCTGGATTTGAACTTATGAGTTCTCCCAAGGAAGACAACCCTGTGATTTTTGTGAGTAACTTATTTGAAATTGATTTTATTTAACCTTTGTGCTTATTATTTCATTTATTATAGACTTATGGTGGATTAGTAGTTGATTCTTCTAAATATGCTTCCCCTGAGATCGCAAAAAATTCTTGGAATAATCTAAAGGAGTAAGGCTCTCTAAACTATATTAGTGATTGACGAGAATCAAAATTTATTTCTTTTATGTTCTTTGAGGTTAGGCATGATGTGTGGGTAACAGACTCGTGGAATTACGGAACTTTGATCTATGAAGTGTATAACGGAGCATTTTCATCTACTAATCAACTTGAAAATACTGGTGCTATACCACAGGTTAAATTTTTAAATTATATTCTAACTTTCTACATTTCGTAAAAATCTGTAAATGTAATCATTCTTGCTATTTCTTACTGTTTGCAGAATATTTTATCTCCATATAAACAATTGATAAGAGCCAATCCAAAATCTCGACTTAAAATATCTGCTTTCGTCGATGCTTGTCTACGCCCCGGTGGATTTTTTCAGAATGATCTAGTACAAATTAATTTATTCTTGGAGAATATGAACATTAAAGAAGCAAGGGAAAAAGATATCTTTTTTAAGTAAGAATTTCATAGTACAATCTTATATTATAGTATGATTTCAAATGAATTTCGTTAATTTATTATTTATTTTTAGGAAATTGATTGATACGATCGATAAAATGCCTGGAAATATATGTAAATATAAAATTTTGCCAGAACTCCTTAAAGCTCTAGAATTTGGCTCAGGTAAATCATTACATGATTATGAATTTATTTATTTATTATTTGCAATTATTTTTTTTATATTTATCATTTATTTGATTATTAGGTGGTGCAAAAGTATTACCTTCTATAATAAAGATCGGTGAAACTCTCGATGATAATGAATACGAACAATTTATAGTGACATCTATTATAAAAATGTTTGCTGTGCCTGATCGAGCTATGCGTCTTAGTTTGCTAGAAAATTTAGGCTCATTTATTGATCATTTAGATAATAAAACGGTCAATGAAAAAGTATTTCCTCATGTGGTAAGAACTCTTCTTTAAAATGAATTATTGCATGACAATTTTAATTAATAATCGTACAGGCAACTGGATTTACAGATACTGCACCAATTATCAGAGAAAGTACCGTAAAATCGGTTCTTTTACTCGCTCCAAAGGTATGAATTCATCGGTGTGTGACCATTATTTATAAATATGATATTATTATATTAATGAATTTTTCTATGAATAATAGTTGACTGAACGTGTTATTAATAATGATTTATTACGGCATTTGGCAAAGTTACAAATGGATGAAATGCCTGGTATTCGGACAAATACCACTATTTGCTTAGGCAAAATTAGTAAATACCTGAGTGACAGTGTAAGTTAGTAAAGTTAAATAATTTTGTATAAACAATTACCAATGCTTGACTTTTAGATATTAATGTATTTATTATGTATTCGTATAGACAAAGAAAAAAATATTGGTAACCGCATTCACAAGAGCGCTGAGGGATCCGTTTCCTCATGCTAGAGCGGCGAGCTTGATGGCATTGACAGGTAACGATATTCAATATTTTGAATTTCTTTAATATTTAAGGCGTGGTGTTTACATAATTTTCTGTTATACATCTATTATACAATTATAGCAACACTAGAATATTATGATGCTACCGATTGTGCAACTAGAATATTGCCATGTGTGTCAGTAGTTTTGGTTGATAAAGAGAAGTAAATTGAAAATATAATACTTGATTGAAAGTTGTGTCGTTATTCGAATATTAAGGACTTTTGACTTCTCATTATATATATATGTAGACCAGTACGCATCCAAGCTTTCAAATCGCTCGATGTAATTGTTAAACGATTAGAAAAATTGGTCGAATCAATGGTATCTATATAATTAAACATTTGTTTTTGTATTTTTCTAATTTAATAATTTGTAGCGTTAATCCTTGACACATTTTATTAGCCCGATTCAGCTATTTTAACTGAACAAAGTTCAGGAAATGCCGACACTTCATTGCCGACTTCAGTTGCTGGTAGCGTGGTTAGTGCTGCCGAAAGTTGGACTGGATGGGCTGTTACATCTTTGACTAAAAAGGTAGTGTAGCGTTTTTTATACTCTAGTATAATCTATTTAATCTATTTAATAATGTATTTAATATTTTGAATCGGAAAAGATCACTGGAGTAAATGTTGAAGGCGAAATTGCAGCAGCACCTACTGACAACACAAATAGTGATACATCCGCACATGCTCACGAGAAATCGGGAAGCGAATATTTGTCACCTTCTCCGAGCTCGAGTGATTCTAAATGTGAGGCTCTCGAGAAATCGGGAAGTGAATATTTGTCACCTTCTCCGAGCTCGAGTGGTTCTAAATGTGAGGGGTTTTTTTTTCTTTCTCGTTACTTTATTTTAAAGAAAAAAAATTTTTATGTATTTTATTTAAACATTCACAGTACATCCGACGGATGGTTGGGAGTTGGATGATTTTGAATGGGGTAACAATGATGGATGGGACGATGATTGGGATACTTCAAGACCATCACCCGCAACGTCAACTAGATCCGTAAGCCCAATTCAAAAATCGACGCCTTCTATTACAGTTTCTAAGGAAGAGAGAGCAGCAGAACTTAACAAGAAAAGAGAAGAAAGACGACAGGTCAGGATTCTATTTTTAAGCAGTACATGAAATTTTGTTAATCTTATATGTTTATATTTATATAGAGAATGTCAATGTTGAAAGAAAAAAAGAAAAAAAGTTCAGTACTCGGAGCAAAGAAAATATAACAAAGTTATTTTATGTGCTACTTTTTTATTATTATGGTCTGGTACTATACATATGTAGATTTCATAGATTCTTATTTATCATTACAGTATAATATTTAATTAAATGGATATTATCTAGTGAATCGATGTTCTCATTGGACACTTCACTGGCTATAATAAATTTTATGTCTGTGATATAGATTAGTCACTAGACAATAATATAACCATCGTTTATTTAAAATTTGTGATAAAAATTTTTGATAAATATTAGATAAAATTTAAACTTTATACAGATGTAGGCAATTATATGGTGTACGCGTTATAATATGATCAGTTATATTTTTACTTTTTTAGTGTAATGAGGATTACCTAAAGACATTGCTGTATGTTGTAAGTAGGAACGGGATTTGGAATTTTTCAATATTGATAGAATAAATTTATATAGCCTATATTCTAACCTTAATCCTAACTTATAAAATGCTAGACTATATATAGTATCTATATAGTAACTATCTTAAATCAGTATACGTTACAACGGAGTCCTTAAAATTGATCAGTATTGTCGCGTAATGACTCACATTCAAAGCATGTATTTACAAGCTTGGCATCTCTCTTGATACCGATAATTCATTAAAATGAAAGCTTATAGGAAGTTAATATGCGAACGATGAGATGAGAAAAGTTGTAATTCATATGAATGATGCCAAGAAAAAGATTGTAATTCATATGAGTGACGCCAAGAAAAAAGCTGTAATTGACGCCAAGAGAAAACTGTAATTCATGTGTGACGCCGAGAAAAGCTGCAATTCATATATGAGTACGTTAAGAGAAAATAATTTACATTTTTTTGTGCATTCGATAGTTATCACTTACGGAATTCGCGACTCTGACATAATCATTTACATAATCATTGTTTAGACCAAGCATATAATTTATGTTTTTTATATTAGAGATCACGTATTTTTACTTTCTTAACGTGAACATTATAATTGAGGTTAGTCAGTAGAAACACAGAAATTTAAAAAAAAGAACTCAACTGACTTAATCAAATTCAATATACTGTAGAATTTATTTAAAAAAATTTTACTAAATTTAAAAAATTTTCATTAAAGATTTGGTGCGTTTCTACTGACTCGACCCATTTCTTAAAATTATTTATTGTGTAAATAGACATTTGCAACAACAAAATAACAGATTTTTGTAAACTAAAACTATTACTTTTTACTTTGCTTGTTTCGCGTTCTTTTAAAACGTTTGCTCGCTCTAAGCTTGTTATATTTTTGGATTAGTACAGTATAAAGTTTGTTCTATACTTTTTTTACCACATCTTTTATTAGTGAATGTCTTTACAGAACTTTTGATTTTTGCTAAATATGTATGCTTTATAATTATTATATAATAAAAATATAATGAAAATATTTTTTAGTCTGTTAAATTACTATTAATTTGCTTGTTATCATTTACTAAAATATAAGCTTTGCTAAGATATCGGTAATATATTAGTAATATTATTTAATTATTTTAAACAGATTGTTATTATATTATTAAAATATTATTTTATTATATTACTATTAGATAATAAAAAGATATTTCTAATATTAAACCCATATTTTAATTATATTATAAATATATAATATACATCAAATTAAAAGTGATAATATGATAGAACAAAAAAAAATATTTTTAAAATATGATAATAATATTTTTAAATATGTTTAACATATATTTATAATATAATAATATTAGTAATATTGTAATTATATTATAGCAATATTGTAGCAATATTGTAAACATATTTAGCAAAAAATCAAAGTTTTTGCAAAGGGGTTAGAGAATTTCGTGTTTGGGTGGAAGTCGCGTAATTGTCATTGAGAAAAAAATGGCGTGAAATGAATTATTGGAAGGTAATGCCTTATCACATTGACTGCGTTTAAGTGTAGTTTTTATATCGAGTCTTTAAAAAGAATCTATTCTACGCGTCTGATATTAACTACAGATCCTTTTGTATATGTATAAGAATTTCGAATTTGCTTTAGATTTCTTCTCATTTGTAAATAAATGATTTTGTGATCTTGTTTGTTATTCCAAATTTTTTACGTGATTCCTGATTTTCTAAATAAATACAAAGGTTAGTATGCATTTCAAACCAGATTTATCTCGATTTAAATTCGGTTCCCTTATTGCAGTATTGTCAGTAACTCTCTTAGTCGATATAACACCAGCTATGGTTTTTATCAGAAATAAGGATATTGATATTATATTTGCGATGAAGTTCATTTGGAAATGAAATGAAGGAATAAGAATTATTGAGACTACGCATATCAATTGATTTTCTTTTTCCTTTTTTTACATCATTTGGATATGATTCATGTAATAACTACACCAAAATCCTAAATTTGGCCAAACTATTGAATTAATATTGTAAAAACTTTATTATTAATCTTTATTAAAACAAGTGGTATATATTTTATAGTTATATACAATATGTTTATGAAGCATCAAGAATTTTTTCTTTGTTTTTTTGATTTAATTTTTATATATGACAATTGTTCTTTGAGTTTGGATTTGTCTGGGTTTTACTGGCATGTGTAGTTTTAAATAAAATTTCACTGAATATATATTATTACATACTGTATCTTTTCTTGATGAACCTTCATTCAAATATATTAGTCAGATTTGGTTATCTCTTTATACTTTCTTTATATTAACAGACTCTAATCCTTTTTAATATCATCGATACAAATATTATTATTAGAAATAATTTCATTTGTATCAGAGCCTATGCATCCATGTGACTGTTGGTTAACATAACTAATGAATTTACTGGTATGAATCACACTACCATCAATATTATTAATGCCATTATTTTAATCTCCATTTCTTTATCGGATTTTAAGAATTCAGACAAAATTTCAGGATTACCTTTCCAATTTAAAATAGTTTCATGAATTTCTATTGCTGACGGTCGTTTTTCTGGATCTTTATCCCAACACTTCTTTAAAGGATTTATATAGCATGATGTTGTGTCTTTAATAATAGATGGTCTCAAACCTTCTAGAATTTCTATTGTCAACTTTAAATTATCAACTTTATAGTCAGAAAATACGGCATTTCCTGAAGAAATTTCCCACACAATCATTCCGAAAGAATAAATATCTGATGCTTTGGTAAACGGTTTTTCTTGCAAAACTTCTGGTGCTATATAAGGTAAAACTCCATAAATTCCTCCTGATTCTTTATTTAAAGTTTTATTAACCGATGCCGCAAATCCTAAATCGCCGATATAAGCATTATATAAATCATTTTGAAACATATTGCCACTATGTAAATCACAATGAATAATATTATTTGAATGAATTGTTTGAAGATAGAATGCAATATAAGATAATAGTTCTAATTTTTTCTCCCATTCCATTTGCGCAACATGATAAAGGTTTTTACGTAAAGATCCCATTTTTGCATATTGCATAGTTAAAATATATTCATTTGTTTCTTCATCTTTTGATATTTCATGACATTGTAAAAATGTGGGGTTCTTTGCTCCAATCTTTGAATACACGATTAACTTTAAATTTATATTTATTAGTAACTGAATATTAATAATATGATTAATTTATTATTAAATTTTTATAAGATTATTATCAAATATTTTACCGGATCTTCTAAGTATAGGTGGGCAATATAGAAATATTCTAAGATTATAATATATTAAAACTCTAACCCTAACCTAACCTTAATTTAAACTATAACCCTCACCCTAACTATTTATAAATTTGCTTAAATTAGTTCAAATAGTTATTTTTATATATTATAATCTTATAATAATTCTATATTGCCCACCTATACTATAGATCAACCATTTTACCTCTTTTATAAGTTCTTCACAGCTATTTTGGATCCATGAAATAACTTAAGTGCAACCATTTGATTTAAAATACTATCTGTAGTTACGCGTAATCAATTAGCAGCATACACAGTTGCAAACCCACCTTTTCCAATTTCTCCCAAAATTCAAATTCATCAAATGGAATCCATGATATTAATAAATTATTGTCAGATAGTGATTTTTTTAGAGAATAATCAAGATTTTTAGAATCAACTATCTTTTGAGAATTATTACTTTTCGCTTTTTGCAGCCATTCAAAGGCTTTTTCTAGATTAGGCGATATTCCATTGTCATCTCGATAACGTATTCCAACTTCATATTGTCCGCTATAATAACCATTTTTTACAGATTTTAAATACCATTCAAATGTCTCTTTTCATCCTTGGCTGTGCCTATGCCTTCTTCATAACAGGCTCCAACATCATACTGTGCAGTGAAATTGCCACCTTTAGCAGATTTCAAATGCCTTCTTTTCATCCTTAGCTGTGCCTATACCGTATTGGTAGCACTGTCCAAGACTATTTTGTCCATTCGGATTACCACTTTCAGCAGATTTCAAATGCCACTCAAATGCCCTTTTTTCGTCTTTACCTGTGCCTATGCCATTTCTGTAGCAGACTCCAACACTAAAAGGCACTTGAATCTGCTGAAAGTGGTAATACGAATGGACAAGATAGTCTTGGACAGTGGTACCAATATGGTATAGGCACAGCTAAGGATGAAAAAAGGCATTTGAATGGTATTTAAAGTCTGCAGAAAGCAGTAATTCGATTGGACAAATTAATCTTAGAAACTGCCATCATAATGGCATAGGCACAACCAAGGATGAAAAAAAGGCATTTGAATGGTATTTAAAATCAGCTGAAAGTGGTGATTCGAATGGACAATTTAATGTTGGATTCTGTTGTCGAAAAGACATAGGTATGTTGCATCTAAAGTAGCGATTTATCTAAAGTAGCCACTTTAGATATATAAAGTAGCGCCTGATTAAAATTAGGCCCCTGAAATTAGATCTTCATGCATGCACTAAATCGTAATTCTAGCCCAGGGCTACTTTAGATAGGG